GGAGAGATGAGTCACACTGATGTCTCTTTCCGTCGTACTTTTAGTGATGTGGCAACTTTTCCACTGCCGACAAGCCTAAAAAGGTTTTTGCACACAAATTGAAAATGTGCCGCTATAAGATGTTCGTACATTACATGTCATTTAGATGACGCTTTTGTCCAGCGACTTTCAATAAGTGCATTTTAACCATAAGGATCATCAAATAAGCCGATTTACAACTTTCTATAGATAAGAGCGATTATAATAAAGCAATAAGGTATAAGAGCGGCGGATGTAGGGTTTGACGACTGGACCCGATCCATTCACAGCGTGGTACGTGAGCACCAGTGTTTTGAACTGGGTGCGGGCAGCCACTGGTAGCCAGTGAAGAGAGCGGAGGAGTGGAGCACTGTGGGAGAGGTCCTACTGACATTCAAAATGTGTTTAGTTGAGAAACACTGAATCTAAATGGTTTGTTCCTTGATACACTTTCTGCACCACTAATTAATATATAATGTGAAGTCTAAAATGTCCGCTTCATTATCCTCACAGAACGATCAGTCAACAGGAGAAATCAAAGTGATCGGTGGAGATGATCTATGTACGTTGACTGGCAAGGTAAGAAGGATGGAGGGCAGCGCGATTCTCACTATAACGTTGTGATTAACATTTGTAAAAAAACAATCATAATTATAACTTTAATCAATGGACTTGTAAAAAGAAACTTCTCTTCTGTCGTCCATCACATCTCATTGTACGTTTCCACCATTTTCAACAGCAACAGAGATTTTCAAAGACCTGCTAGTTGTTATCCGGTTATGAATATGAAAAATCAAGGTGGTGAAGAATGCTTTCATGCAATGATCCAGACACTCATGCCGCCTCCACTTGCACGCTGAAATGAAATGCTCCTGACTAATGGGATGTGTCTTTTCTTTTCACACAGAACGTCTTGATTGTGGAGGTATGTAGCAATGTTTCTTATTCAGTAAATTGGATGGCTTTCCATTCCAAGACTAATGTTCTTTCATGCTGTGTTTCTAGGATATTATCGACACAGGGAAGACAATGCAGACGTTATTGGAACTCCTCAAACAGTTCAATCCCAAAATGGTCAAAGTAGCGAGGTAAATTGAGCATGCATATCTCTTCTCTCGTGGTGATCATGTGATGATAAAAAATAAACACAATGATTTTCTGGCTGTTTCCCAACAAATGTCAGGCTGTTTGTTATCCTCGCTATCTGTATTATGATCAATGATCAGCTTTGTTTCGGTCCCCAGTCTGTTGGTGAAGAGAACACCAAGAAGCGTCGGCTACCGACCCGACTGTGAGTTCAAGTCAACGCTTTTCTTTGAACTATTAGTGAAATGTATCTTTAACATCCTGTATGCGGGATTCGTTTTTTCTGGGTGACAAATTGCACACCTTCATTTCAGTGTTGTGAAGTCATCATAGCTGATTTGGCCACCCGTTTCTTTCAGATGTAGGATTCGAGGTGCCGGACAAGTTTGTGGTGGGCTACGCGCTGGATTACAACGAGTACTTCAGAGATCTGAACGTAAGTATTGGAGGGGGACAAAGAGGCGCTGAGTGAAGTGGCTCACGTATTCATTCCCATCAGAGTTTCTATGAACAGTTTGTACCTGTTTTGTGGATTCAGCAGCACTCATTGAGCCTTTTCTGTTTCAGCATATCTGCGTCATTAGTGAGACGGGGAAGGAGAAGTACAAGGCCTGAAGAGCACTGCATAATCATTTTTAACATATGGTTTGATGTTCTATCACTTTATATTTGCTTTATCGAAAATAATCTTGCTTGCTCAGGGTCCCCGAGGACACACTGCTGAAGTGATCTTTCTGTTTTAGCAAACACACGCGCGCACACGGTGGATTCAACCTTTTGAGAAACTTAATTGCCTTGAGTGGAACCACGTCTGGCTGTAACAGCATGGAGGTGATGCAGTTCTTCGATCCCCCCCAAACATTTTTTTTAAAGTCTAATTCTAATTTATTTGGAGCAACGCTGCTAGCTTTAATGACAATTGCACATTGATTTGTCAAATTGACCTCTTATGAAATTAAATATTTTTAAAATTGTAACTACTTTTACGTTGATTTTATTAGCGGTTTAGTGGCCGCTCAAAAACATGTTATTTCCTCAAGATCTACATGCGTGTTTTGGGACAACACTGTGCTATTGTACTGGAAGATTTTGTGTTGCAAAGCAAAAGTTTTCCCTAATAATACACATACTATACCCAGTACTTTGATATGATGAAGATGAAATATCTTTGTATCAATATAGTCTTTGTATTTTGTGTTGCACAACGAATTTAGATGCATGATTGCTTTATTCACTAACATTTTAGTTATGCTGGGAAATTTGTATACTGTGCAGATTAGAGCAACAAAAGTCGATTTAAGGATTTTTTTTTTTAGTTGCCTGAAATAAACACCATCTGAACAGCACCTTACTTTTTTAATAAATGGTAAAGAGGAAGCATACTTTTCTCATGCTGTTCATGTGTCCAAAGTTATTTGAGATTGTTGTCAAATGCCAAATATGTTTTTATTATTTGTACTGAGCCTAGATGCTTTGCAAATCAACACCATTTTTGTATTGATGATAATATATGTTGATGAAAAACCTAAACATGGGATACTAGTCTTAATAAACGCTTACATATGCTTGTTTTAACCTGATTTCTATTTAATCCATACCGTTAATCCATACGTTGGCTGCTAGTTACATTAAAACATCAGTTCAGACACCACACTGACGGGAAGAAATGCGGCTCGAAAAACGTTTAAACGTCCTAATAAGTTAATTAATGTTATTTGAATATTTGATTTTGAGTATGAATGCCAAAAAGAACAGGCGCCTCTTTGGCTGGTGTGAATAACTATCCGCGCAGCGTCTCCTGCAAACAAAAGACGAGGTAAAACATTTGATGCAGCCACATTAATCAAGCCGTGCTTTAGATTAAACGTTGTACTGACGTCGCATGTTGCGCGCGTGCGGAAGCCGCTTCGCAGCGCCGGGTGATTAAGCCGTTTGATTGGACAGCGCTGCTAACGCTAAAAGGAGGCGTGAGCCTCGCTGCTAGCGGCTAAACCCAGGTTAGCTTTTCAGTGATCATCCAACGCAAGGACCTGGTTCATTCTTGGCGGCGTCCTGCGGAAACAAAAAAGACTATTGTACAACAATTGTTTGCGATAGACGAGGTTTAGTTTATTTATTGGAGCTCTTCAAACTTTCAGGCTGACGAGCTTGAACAACTAACGTTAGTTGGTGAAACGGTGCCTCGGCCTCTGTGGACATGGTATTACGGCTAATAGGGTTAATGCTAACTTATCCAACGTTAGTTAGCCTGGTAGGCTAGGTAGCATGGCTGCTAGCTGCGGGTGGAACAAGGCAGCGGGAAGCGTAGCACAACACTAGCTGGACGGTGCACCCGTTGTGAGAATTACTTTTCTTCAGTTCGACCTCGTCACGGCATCCACGCTAGACTCGAGGGGCAAACATTCGCATTTAAACCAAGTAGCTTGCCGGTGCGGTTAACGAGAGCTTTCTTAACCAGCTGTAGGTTTAGCCAAGTCGCGTCTCATCCGTCATCCGATTTGGCCTTGCAAGCTGGAGCCTAACCGGTCGGCGGCTAGCCGGTACCGGGCATTGTGTGGCGCATAGCCGCGGCATGCTAACCCCCACAGCAGGGACGTGCGTGTCTGTTCACAGCGGAGCAGGCGACGGTTTCGCAGACTGGTTCTGACTGGTGTTAATGGTCGTGGTGTGTAACGATCTGAAGATGGCGAGTAATGGTCGGGGTTAATCGGTTAGCCTCGACGCAGCAGTTGTAGACGACAGGGCCTCGCGGATCGCAGTGGCTTCGCTACATTGAGTTGATGCGTTTGCAGAGTAACGATGTAGAGCCGCTGAGCTGATTAGCCCGTTTGAGTTCATGAATCGGTGGCGGCTGCGATAGCAAGCAAGATGAACAATTCCGGAGTCATGCCACAAGAAAAGATGGAACTGGATCTGGAGATCCCATCTTCTCTCGTTCCGACTGAAGGACAGTTGAGACGGTCCAACAGTGCGCCCATGATAAATGGCTTGAGGTCTCTATAAAGTTACTGTGTGCTATTTACAGTGGATGTGTTTGTTCCCCCCTCTGCAAACAATGAAGCATCTACAATTGCAGTGGCCCCTCATGGAGAAGACTCATGGCCGCTGTGTGAATTTGTCCTTCCAGTGATAACTCCCAGGTGTTCCAGAGGGAAGTCCTGCGCAGCCGGAGAAATAGCACGACAGTTGTCAACAGGCCGAACATGGTACCAGACTTTATCAACACACGCTCACTAAAGTAATGTGTTTCTGAATGATTCTGAATTGAACGGTCTCTTTCCCCCCCACGCACATACTTCTTCTCAGGTCCCTTCTTCGCCCATTCGCGTCCCCAGCACCAGGCTTCACCAGATAAAACAAGTAAGAAGGGGGGAAGCGTTGTTTTCTGCAAACATTCGGCGGCGGCATGTCGGACCACCGTCTCCTTCTCGAGCCGTAGGGAGTGATGGTGTCCTGTGAACCATGCTAGAGTAACACATTTTGCAGTCCACAGGGCCACTGATCTTAAAGACTCGATCAATTGGTAGTATTGGACTGCAACAGATTCAATAGTTGGCTCGGATTGAGTCCAGTGGCTGAACTAGGAGAGATACAAGCTGTGCCGCTTTGATGCTGAGTAAGGTGCAATGGAGATGCAACAATGTCCAGTTGTTGGATTTTTGTATTCATGTGCCTTGGTAAATCACAACCGTGCAACTACTAACCCTGTGGTGTGCTCTTACAGGAGGAGGGTGTAGACGTGATGAACAGGGAAACCGCTCACGAGCGGTAAGCCGCGTGTTTATGAACATAGTTGGTTCGTAAAGGCCGTTTGAATGATTGCTTCGCTGTAAAATTCTTACTACTTCTTTTTTTTTTGTCATTCAGGGAGGTTCAAGCCGCCATGCAAATAAGCCAGTCCTGGGAAGAAAGCCTCAGTCTGGTAAACGTCTCCTTTACAGCATGTCCAAACCCCCCCCACCACCCATGTTTCTGTCTTCGGTTGTTTTGCAACCGCGGGAGTCGGCTCCATTTTGCCGGCCCTGCGCATGTTTTGGCCTCGAGCCGCCGTCGGCCGCTCCGTCACAGTGGAGAGTGGACGAGTACAAACATGCTAGATTAACGCTGAAAAGCTTGGGAGTTAACAGGGCCACCAGTCTTTCAAGGTCAGGCTGAGTTGGTAGTATAATACTCCGACAGACCCTTTTCATGACTGCTTTTCACCCACTGACCGTGCAGATGTGAGGCCACATATCCGTTTTTGACCCCCATGGTTGTGTTTTTTTTTTTTTTTTTTAGAGTGACAATGATTTGGAGAAGTCCGCGTCTTCGTCTCCAAAGCGCATCGACTTTGTCCCGGTGTCGCCCGCGCCGTCTCCGACCAGAGGGATTGGAAAAAAGGTGCGTCTGACCTCTTTACGGCTGCATGCAACGTAACCCGATTTAGACGGAGGAACATGTCGAGGCAATTTCATTCGTTTGCGCTCGCTTGATTCTCCAAACGACTTCAGCCAGATGGATGACTGGGAGCCTGTGTGGATGCTAGAAGGCTGCAGCTTATTGGCAGCAGAAATGCAAATATTTGTTCAAATCTGTTCCTTTTGTGAAAACCCAACCTGTGTTAATTGCAAATGATTCCATTAAGCTTTTTTACTGCATATTTTTGAGATAAAAGCGCTTAATCAAAATGTTGTAAGTGGTGCTTTCCTTTTTTAGATCGGCTAACACGGTAGCAACACTTACACAGTATTGTCTTGGTGAATTTCTTGCAAGCAGCAGTGTTTCTCGCCGTCACTTCAAATCCTTGTGAGCAGCAACGGCCTGACGCCGAGCCCGATTCCCAGCCCGACTCGCCGCTTCAGGTGAGTGGCGAGGCACTGCGGTTACTTCAGTCCCTTTCTACACAGAGGTCTATTGGTAACCTGCTGGCGGTGACTGAACCTCTAGTGTGGCTTGACAACGTGTGTTCTCTGTGCTCCTCAGCCGACGGAGTCAAAGCCCCATCAACTGCATCAGAGCCAGCATACTGGGGCCGATGAAACGCAAAGGTACGGGGCCAGACAAAGGTTCAGTAAATGCTGTGGAACGTTTTCCATGATCTCCTTTGAAGGCCACCAGAAGTGTCACCTCATTTATGTGATCAGAAGTGATCTGTTGTAAATTCAAGCTATTTTAATTCTGAATTATCTGTAAGATAAAATGGCAATTGAGTATATTTTCAGAGAGTCACTACAAAATGTAATTATTTAGGTGGAATTGATTCTTTTTGGTTTGATCAAATGAAGTGTTTTTTTATTTGTATTTAACTACTGGAGACTGCAGTGTCTCTAGTAAATGACATGATAAGATCTCACTGTCTAATAACTGTAAAACCCCTTGATACAAGTTTACCTATTGGGAGCAAATGTCTAAATGTCCCTTTACTCTGCAGGCGAGATGGAGACGGAGAGTCAGCCCAAGAGACTCTTCCAGGGCACCACCAGCATGCTGTCTTCTGACGTCTCCAACCTGTCGGAGCTCAGCGCCTGGTGAGAGAATAAAATGTCATGTTAATATGATCCGTACAAGAAAACCCTGCGATATAGCTGTTGGGTCATTGACTCAAATGGTCTGTTTTCCATTTAGATTTGGAGAGAAAATGTTAGTTTTGGCATCCAATGTGATCTTTATTCAGCTCTCTGATGTCTGAAGCCTTTTGGTCGTACCGAACTTTTCTTTTCCTCCGTTCAGCCACTCTCCCGATTTGCTGGACGGGAGCCTCAGCAGCGTCTGCTCCTCTTCAGGCTCGCCGGGCAAAATGGAGGGAGTGTCGCCCTCCTCGTCCAGCAATTCGCCCTTCGCTTCCCTCCAGGATTTGTCCCCGAAGTGAGCACGCCGTGGCATGAGACACTAAACGGACTGGAGCCAAAAAGACTCTCAAGAGGGGCGGCTGGCAGAAGAGTTTCCTTTCTCAGACTCCCATCTCGTCATCACCTAGATTTAGTGTTTAGTGGGAGCATTGTGTTTATGTCTGGGCGGCTGTTGTCATGGCAACATCTTTTGCGGGTCGAGGTATGCTTCAATTAAGGGAGTGAAAGCCATGTGTGAGTTTTGTTGTGGCAGCCGTGCGTTGCTAGGAATGACTGCTGACAGCGTGAGCGCCAGCTGCTAGTTCAGGGTCTTGGTGCTGGTGGTGCTCTGCTTTATTGTGTCCATAAGTGGCAACGCTTCTGTCTCACACAAGAGACACTGGGCACGAGACATATAAGAATAAGACTATTTGGATGTGCATATTTTCCCTGTTATTGTGCTGGAAAACTTGTGTGTGTGTGTATACAGCCTGTAGATTTTGTAAGATAATAACTTATTGTTTTCCTACTGTTTGTAATTATGTACATAAGAACGTTCGGATGTTGTAAGTTTGTAAAAGTGTGCGCAGATCTTACGGAGCAGATGTTTTCTTTGTAAAGGAATGGGCTACTTTGGGGGGTACACACCTGTGGGGCTTTCCTTACCCTTTAACTGCAAGAATTTTTTTTCTTTTTACGTTATGGGTGATTGGGGATTTTTTTTTTTTTTTTTCCATGCCACGTTTCCCCATAACTTGTTAAGTGTAAGCGACTTATGCAGTTGAATGTGGATGAAATGAGAAGATGGTCGTCACTGCTGTGCTCTCTCCACTAGAGGTTCCTCAGTATCCTGTTTTTGTAGATAAGAGTATGGAAAAGGTTTACTTTCTACTAGGGTATTGTTCTTATTTATGGAAGAAAATTAGTTTAAGACTGGGACGGCGATGGGTTTCTAACCAGTTCATCGGCACAAACAAAATGGCCCCTCACAGTGCGAGTGAAAACACTGCTGTAGTTCCTTCTGTTGAAATAGCTTTTTTGCACAGGAAGCGCTCCTGTGAGGTTTCAGCCTGCGTGTCAGCAGCGCAGTGGATCTTGACTTTGTCGTGAAACACGATCCACTAATGCAGTGTGTGGAGGTAAAGCTGTACTGCAAATTTTTATTTGCACCAGACGTTTCTCTTGTCTGCCAAAAACGCCTCAGTGTCCATATTCTGTTTGTAACAAACGTGAATCCTTTCATGGCTCTGCAGCCTGTGAGGTGAATGTAGAAGAAAAAAATGTGCCCAGTTATTTTTAACATACAAATCCACAAATGGAAAAAGGCAGTCCGTTCGCCTTGCTGTCAAGATGATATTTGGTATTTTCTGTCATCCTATGAAGTGTTCAGGACATGAAAGAAGCAAATATTCGTACACTGTGTCAATGGCTGTAATCTGCCACGCAGGTCACAACTCCGCTGTGCTTGTGTCTTTTTGTGATGCAACTCTAGCGGACGTTAGGACTAAATAAATTATTTCTTTTATTACAAGCCTGAAACTGTTTTAAATGTTTTTGTTCTGTCAGCACTAAAATGTATGTGTGTGTCGTTTACTGCTCTGGAACGAAATGGTACCTAAGCAGTGTCAAATCGTTAAAGCTTACGGAGACTGCAGACCCTTATTCAAACTTATACAGTATACCAAATAAATTAATCTCCATTTGGTACCAGACAGCTGTATTGAGGCTTTATTAAAAGTTTGATGGAGCGCTGATAAAGCTGCAAACCAGCCATCGTCTTCACAAGAAGGTTTTCGTTGACATGTTAAAATTATATAAAAAAACTCAAAGTATTAAAACATGCAAATAACTGCATTCAGTCTTCAGCATTTCTAATCAATATAATGATGTATTCAGGTCGATACCATAACAAGTTGAATGGATTTATATACACACGTGTAAAATGTTTGCATGTCGATTCCTTCACTGGAGTTAATCATAGTCTGGTACGTGATGGCTGAATAGAAACACGCCCGTTCTCTGGACCTACATGCCGGCGTTTTCCGCTATTTGCGTCAGTTCTGTTTTGTGTCCGTTTACGTACAAAACACAAACACGTGGATTGAATATCAAGTATCCTAATCTGTATTTTGCAGGGGGCGGAGCTAACTGAGTAGGTACAACGCCCCCCAGCTGTACACGTTGAAGCGTAGAAGAGCCTCCGTTGTGAAGGCGTTGTGGTCATCCTCGGATCATTTCCTCTCCGCTCCGCTCGCAGCACTTCATGTGCGTAGGATGACCATCGTAAGAAGACCTACGATAGAGCGGGAAACAAAACAATGTAGGTCACGTTGAAACTTTCAACAAATAGTGCTACCGTATCTTATTTTTTCCTCACCGAGAACATAAGCAGCTACAAGTTTCTTGTTAATACTCAAGTGGAGGTAGACAGGCACAGTAGATTCTTGCTCCCCGAGCGTCGGGAGCATCAGGGCGGCCATACACACCAGCCCGAGCAGCACCGTCAGCAGGCTGGGGCCCCCAGCGGCAGGACGGCTCTCTGTTGGGCACATGCACATAAACCCAGTTGGGTGACAAGCGGTTAAAAGGAGGTAAACAAAATCCCATAAAAAGACCCAAATCATTAACGTGTTAGTGTGGCACGTTGGTTACTCGGAACAATCTGAATCGTTAATAAACGGGACAGGGGCAACTGTCATTTTCCAACGTGGATTCACTGCGTTAATTGTCATCTACAAAACGTAGCACGTGGGATTGACGTAAGATAACCTATAGTGCGTGCTCACGGTGATGCAGCACTGATGTGCTTTTAATAGATACACACATTTAGAACATGTGGGTTAGATCAATTGATTCTGGATTGCGCTTTTACCCAGATGCGTTGATAGTTCCAGATATATTGCAACTCATCAGACTGTCCTTTATCATTGGTAGGTAAACACCTACCTATTTTACGGGAAGATCAAATGCGGCGGTGGTCACAACAAGTGTTATTATAGACAAACAACAAAAAGCCACATATCACACATTGTCCAAAATATATATTGAGCATGTGGCTCTATCTAGTGGTAAAACCGTGCAACTGCCTTTTGCCCTACCGGTGTGACATGCAGTCTGCTCGAAAAACTCGCTGACTGCAAGATGCTCTTTGATCCTGCGCTCCTCATCCTGCACCCGGGGGCTGGGGGGCTCCTGGGAGGCTGAAGGGCGCAGCGTCGCCATCACCACTTTGTGGCCCAGGGCTTTTCGCTGACTCTGCTCCGACACTTGCAGTCGGAACTTGTCGTACACTCCGTAATGGCACGCGCGCACATCCCTGTGTCGGATTACTCTGTGTGGACATCGAGAGTTAGATCACCTCCTTGCTTGACCAGATGGGAAAGTCTGCTTTATAAACAACAGTCTGACTCAAAACATACGGTCAAGTTTCCCATATAAAGCTAAACGATGTGCACAAAAACAAACTCACATGTCAACACAACACTGTGGCTTGACTGCTCCGGTGGCATCGACCACAGCGTATTTGTTTGGCGCTGTGCACAGCACTGGTTGAGAGAAGAAGGAGGGGAAAAAAAGCACACTGACTAGCAACATTATCCAGTGTCTGGCACAAACACCAGACAGCATTTCTGGAAACCCGAGCGGCTTGTGTTTAACCCTACCGACTGACCTTTAAACTTGAGGGCGAACTCATACGGGTTGTAGAGGGTGAGCACCTGCTTGTGAGACGTCTGCTCATCAGCGTAGAAGATGAGCTCAGTGGGGAACACAAAGACAGGAAGGCTTCCTTCCACCAGCTCAGGCTGTCGATGCTGCTGCTGCATTGGCTCCAGCTGAGCTCTTCCCCTTCCCCGTCCACGGTCTGCCTCGGCCCCCCCACGCCTCTCTCCCCCTAACAGCTGTCACGCTGTGCAAGCTCTCGTTAGCTGGAAACGGAACTTCCCTGTTCTCATTGCCTCAGGGCCTTGACGTGTCCCTGTGAGGAGACAGATTGATGGATAATAAAAAAGGCCCAGACCACCTACCTATTTACATTTAGGGTCACACAAAAAATCCCAGGACATTTCAGGAGGAAATATTGTATTTGTTATTCCATTTATGCATCCGGCAGCTGTAGTTGTAGTGACTTTGCATCTGAATGTTTTGCATGTGACAAATGCAATGAAGCGCATTTAATTCACTTCCAATGATTCAACTCGAGCCAAACTCTTACTAGGCTTCCGAGGCCGATACGAACATCGATATTTAACTTCTAGAAACGTAATCACCATCGAGTATATTAAAAGGGCGATAAGCATTATAAACTATGCAATGCTGACACCGTTTTAAAAATCACCTAAAATATTTAACCATTCCCACTGCTCTGGAAAAATAGCACTTTACACACCGACCTGTCGGTGAAGGTTCCTGTGCACGTCTACCACTACAGTGTACCAACGTGTTGTACTAGTGTGCTGTGCCAACTATTCAGGAGGTACAGAGAGTCATAACCACCGCCCAGAAAATAATTGGACATCCCCCGCCCTCGCTTAAAGACATCTTCTGATCACGCCGCCTCCTCAAACACCTAGAAAGCCTCCGACCACCAACATCACCACACTAATGGACTAAAGCTGAACAAGCTTAAAATAAAGAAATGTGCAATAACTTTATACCTGCAACAACATATTTATAAAAGTTAAATAGTAGCTGCATATGTCACTTTAATTATCTGTTGAGGAAGCACTTAAACTGCATCATAAAAATATTTGATTGGGTTACTATGGCAGGTGTGTGTAAGACTAAATGTGCAGTTTTAGCACAGCAAATATTGTTGTACAATGTTCACTTATCATTTCTTGTTACTTCTTGAACAGCATACAGATAATAGTGTTACATATGTCAGAACTCTACAAATAATTGCTAACATAGATATTTCTCAAAGACTTAAGGATTAATATCAGGTATACATTATAAATCAAGCATTTGGTTGTTGTTGTTGTTGTTTCAAGCCAAAGAAGAAGAATTCAAAAAGGTTTGAAGGCTGGCAGTCATTCAAGTTCATGGAACTTATTCCACTTCAAGTAACTTCAGCTCAACCGCTCTAATATTTAAAGGTTGGGTCAGTTCGCTGATCACGTGCCATGATGTGTTTACATTGTTACGGAAGAGCAACCCATTTTGTACACCACGTACACACAAATAACACATTGTTGATATGTGTAGCAACATTTAACATTTGTCAGGTAGTTCTGTTGCAACCTATGGTACAATAATTCATGACTCTGTTATCTTGCCTTATATGTATTCATATTTGTTTAAGAAGTAAGTAAAATATCAGCCAACGTTAAGATAAAGAGCTGGAGCTGTAAAATGACATTTACGCTACTTAACATGTAACCTGAATAAAAGCTATTAAATAAATAAATCCTGACAATGACTAATGTACAAATGTTAAGGACTATTGTACTGAAAATAAAATATTTTTACTGTACAAATTAGGAGAATTCTCCAAAGTAAAAGAACTGTGGGCTCAAAAAGCTAGCTTCTCAATATTATTAAGAGAAATCTCCTAATTTGTACAGTAAATATATTTTATTTTATGTACAAGAGTAGCCAGAAAGACCCTCAAAACATGTACATTAGTCATTGTTTGGAATTACACGATTGTTATCCATAAATTATTGAGAAAAATAATGTTATAGTACCTCCAATATTGAGAAACGATGGTCACCTATTTAGCAACAGGGAGTTATAGATAAATTCAACCATATCTCTCTTACATTTGATGGTGTAACAACACGGACCGCTCACTGTGCTGTAATGCTAACGCTGTTACGTTTAACGTTAGCTAGCATTAGCCGGCTAACCAGATGTTAGCTAGCTGAGAGACACTTAACGGTGTCCGCCCGCAGTGTCAATCCAGGAGAAAAAGAATACAGTTGTTTCAAGTCAAGATAAAAGCGAGACTTTACCTTGTTGTCAGCACGCGGGTTCGTGTAACGTCAGCCGGGCTGGTGCTTCTGCTCCCACCTTGTTGTTGTTTCTCCACAGCCTTTTTTCTTTGTCAATAATATACCGCAGACCACGCAGTGCATGCTGGGAAGGCCGAGGGGAGACGCGTGATAGACGTCAACAAGACGTTACGTCCTCCAAGCAAGGCGTGAGCTGTTTGTAATAACTTCATGTTAGGATAGATTTTCTAGATACTTTTAAGGTATTCACTGACTCAATTGTTAATCATAAAAATATCGCAATATTTTAATGAAATATATACTAGACTAAATGGGGTTACCGTTGTTTATTAGACTTTTTCACCTTGCACGGAAAGACACAAGTTTAAGTCTTCAGATTTAGGTTGCTCAACTTTCAATGTCCTAACAAAAATATTTCCGTCATAAACTGCTTTTCTGTGCAACAAATGAAAATAAAAATTCAAGTGAAATTGCTGAATGCAATTGACTAAAGTAGGGGTTATATCTGGGTACCATGATTTACACTGACCTATACATCTATGAGGTATTTATTCTAACTCTTGTAATATAAGAGTCTCAATTTATAATCAACATACATTTGCAGTTATTTGTACATGGGAGGGTATTTAATCACGTGTTAAACGGGCAAATCAACAAGACTCTTGATGTAACAACGATGCTGCTCAAGTGCTGTCGGATTCCTTACTAATCACGAAAGCGCATGCTCTGATCAGGCGTTACCCGTTATGGTTTTAGAGGCGTAATTGTGTAACTGACTTTTCCACTGTTATATCTCCTCTGTATTGTTTGACTGATTGTTCATTCCAATGATTTAAAGGTCTTTTTAAAGTTTTACATATTTGCATTTTCTATCACGTTGCATTTTTTCACCCGAATGTGCGTTTTCTCTTTGAAGACTTAATAATGTCCAACTGAAATATTTTGAATGTTTGGTGAAGTCAAGTATTTGCTCGCTGTGTTGTCTTGTTATGTTGCGTTATGTTTCGGAAGGAGGCAACTTTTGAGGCGCCTTGAACGCAGCAAGAGAGAGAGAGAGAGAGAGAGAGAGAGAGAGAGAGAGAGAGAGAGAGAGAGAGAGAGAGAGAGAGAGAGAGAGAGAGACGTTGTTTGTGTGTGTACGTTTGCATGTGTATGTGATGGGGGCGGGATGCGAAGCGATGAGAATTGGCAAACCATTTAGAGATGTCAGGAGGTCTATAAATGTGTTATAAACAGCTACAACGTTATCCGTTGTCTTTTTTCAAGTAAGCCATATACATCCTTTCTAATAAGGAATACATGTATTATTTATAGACCCACCAGACTTGTAATTCGCTTTGGATAAAAGCGTCAGCTAAATGAAACATGTAAACCACAGAGGACGCTCTAGCATACCCGCCCGCCGAGCATACATACAATTGAAGCGGTACACTGACGCATTGATAACCATACACCCGCCATCTCGACCTCCTTATATATTTATATATGGCGTGGGGCGTGGTCAATGCAAATAGGCTCAGCCAATGGCGTTGCAGTGGAGGCAGCGAGGCGTTCCCTTCTGTTGGGAGCAGAAGTTGAACAGCGCGAGCCGAGACAGAGCTGTGGAAAGGCAGATAGGGAGAGAGCGGAGGCGACGGCCCTCTTCTGGAGGGGGGGGCTTATTATTTCAAATATACACACACATGTGTGAACTGTTTGGCCGCATGATATAGGTCACATGTGGATAACAGTAATTTTAGAAAAGCATACAATTGCGGCTTTACATTTAAAATGCCTATTTTACTTTTCCTGTTAGACACGTCCGCCTCTATGAATCAGCGCACTTATTTGGGTACGACGTATCTGGACGTTGCTAAAGGCGCGGTTGAGGTCTTTATGAAGGTAAAGAATGATTTCACCCCGACTTTTTTCAGCAAGTATGCAGCTTCGGTGAGCTTAGGGTTCGTTGGGCAAGGTCGGTCGAAATTAATATATGTTGTTTTGGCTTTCTTTTTTGACAGCTGCGTGCCCGAGACCCGGCTAGTAGAGGCGACAGGTACATGCTAGTTACATTCGATGATCCACCATACGGAGTGAAGGTAAATAGCAACTGATACAATGTTTACATTTGACCAGTCGAACGTATTTTTCTGTCAGTGAGACTTTATTGTCCTTCTAGTTCGTAGTCAGTTTTGGGCGGCTTCCCGGTGGCGAAAAAAACGGCAATTTTTTCTCCAAATAAGCGCAGAGCCGGAGCCGCACTGCCTCCGACCATCCAGCGGACATTTTGCTTTTGTGTTGAGAAACGTCTCGGGCGTTGAGATGGAGGCGGGGAGATTTATTATTGCCTCTGACGTTGCTCTTTTTTTCAAAGTATAATGTCCCGATTGGCCAAAGCGCCCGCCAATCATTCTCTACTCCGCCCCTTGCAGCATCCACGCATTCCCATTGGCCAGTCCGGGCTGAAAGTTGGTCAGCCCTCTTCATCATTTTTGTGTTGAGTTCGCTGGAAGAAGAAAGAAAATGATCATTATCCATATAAGAATTATTTGTCATACCGATACTATGAGCATTATGACCCTCAATACAAACACTTGTTTTCACACACACACACTGGCAACAAAACAAAAACATATGAATCACTGCAATATTCCTGAGGTTTCATCTGCGCAAAGTTTTACCCACCAATGATTCAATAAAATACAATCCTTAGTACCCACTCCAGAAGTCACCTGCTTCAGTGGCTGGTCTGTTTTAGGAATCTCTTGGCTTGTGTAACTGTCCACAAACAAAACTCTTATAGTCTCATCTCAATATGCATCGCCATACCATGTCATCAATAGCAGCAGACACATAGAATAGGTGGCTTTCCCTATACTAGTCAGGTAATCGTTGAATAAATCATCTTTGATAGTCATAGTGGGTGTGAGTCATAGTGGGTGTGAGGCTTTGAAGATGAAGGCAGGAATGTCACAGATTGTTTTGCAGGATACTTGACAAGATAACCACAAGTTAATTCCCTATTTCTTGATTTTATAATGCTTTGTATATGAAAAATGTCAGTGCACTTGGCTGCAGCTTTCAAATGATAAATAGTATAATATTTTACAGCCTTCATTAATATGCCCATTAGGAAAGGACTTCTAATTATCATGCAAGCAATTAGTATGACGTTTTATAACTTCTGATAGAAACCAAATTTAAATGTAATAACTTCCCCTTTCTTTTTAAAGAATTTAAAATGTGTTCTAATAATTTTATTGCGAAATATTTTAGTGTACTTTTGTCTCAGGTTTGAGTTTTTTTTCTCTCAACTATTGTACACTCTTCATATTTAAAGGAGTGCATGAAGAAAAATATCTCTCACATTTTAGCTCAGCGACCCAGCAGCTAAAGCATTGCTGCGTACTGCAGCCGGCCTTGTGTAGGATCAGGGTCATGACATTGTGTTACGAGTGGATTCCTTTGCAGCCTTTGTGTGATGCTTCCTCTTCCACTCAGGCATTGACCGTGCAGTTTTCTCCACAGTCCAGATTATTGCTTCCTGCGTTGCACGGAAAAAAGTATTTTAGCCGAATGATCCGAGAAGTGCTACTCGTTGAGGGGTCTGTCCCCAACTCTTCTTCCTTCTGCTCTTCCTCCCTTTGTCTTCGTTGCGTCTCCTTTGTTGGTTCTGCTGGCTCTGTGCACCGAGGATTATGATGAAAGGACAAGGTTAAGCTGAATGGGGTTTCTACGATTTCAGTCACAGAGGCAATAAATTGTTGATGTAGAGGGAGAGAGAATGAGGTTGTGTGAGAGGAAAATAGCAATATTCTGTAGTCGGAATAATTGAGCACCAGCTAAGCCTTACATATCCACCGGCCTGCTTCAAGGTATATGTCTGGGTTATTACTTTGCTGCTGTTTATGTGTATGGCTTTCCACCTTTTGCTCGGCTGCCCGCCGATGTTGTTTGTATGATTTTTATCGGTGACGTCGCTCTGAGCTTTTCCCAGAAAGTCCACTAAAATGTGTGGTTTTAGAAGGATACTCCACCGCCATGTAGACACTGGAGCTACTCTCTCTCCCTCTATGTGTCTTCTACCGATAAAGGAAGTGGTAAGCTTACAGGTTATCCTTAGATTAAGCATGAAGCTGCTGAAGTAAGGTACTTGACCCTGCTGCAGTGAGCGTATCTCCCCCGTGGAGGACAGGCGGCAGTGGGAAGTGTATTCACAGATGCTTGTTTTCATATGAAATTGAACTCAGTCTTACAGCAGCATCCAGCTCAAATGCTGGCCTAATTTTCAAAAATACTATCTTCCATTTCCAGAGCTTGACATAAGCTGGTCTCATTTAATGGTTACCGTGGTAATGTCATGCTGCGCGCCATCAACGTGTTGCTGGTCGTAAAGCTTGACACAAATCACTTTGTGGCCGCCAGGGAACAAAACTGTTTTTCTATGAAATTACATGGTACGTGTAGCCGTGGGTGTGAATCTATTTTGGATCGGCCACTCGGCCGAGCAGCCCGTTCAGCACACTGATGTGTGTGTTTCAGGCCGGCTGGAAGGAGAACCACGCCACCTTCATGTGCGAGCTGAAGAACCTGCAGGCGTCTGGGCTGACCACGTTAGGCCACGCTCTCCGCACCGCCTTCGACCTGCTCAACCTCAACCGCCTCGTCTCCGGCATCGACAACTACGGACAGGTATTTTGACGCAAGCATCCTATCATGCATTTGCTTGGCAGTCGTTCATAAGCAGCTCGCGCTGTTCTGTCGTCAGTTTGTTGGTCCGTGTGTGCGAAATAGAGCTGTAGAAGGAAGAGTGTTGGACTGCTCTGTGTTGTCATGTCTGTCTGTGTAAACAGTTTGTCAATTCAATGGTATGCAAACTTTCAAAGAGGCAGTCTGAAACTTCACAGGTGTGTAGTTAAGAACAAAATGAAGGCCGTTTGAAGTTGGTTGTTGTCCGAGCAAGGACCTCTGAGGCAAGGGGGGGCTTGATTTGGTAGCATGACCATCGCCAGATGGTGCCTAGTATAAACTGTTTTCCAAGCAAAGGTATCTGTTGCAGTTCTGAAATTGAAGATTAAGGATGAAATAAGTTCCACCAGACAAAACTTATCCTCACATACCAGATAGTAACTGAGTGTAAAACGAGGCCTTCCTCATCTGGCCAATGGACACAGCAGACGTGGACTTTCCCCCGATAAACGAGGGGTATGCTGGAGATGAAAGCAAAGGTTTCAACCGGCCCTCCGCTAGTCCTACAGCTTGAGGCACAGAGAACAATATTGACATTTGATGGCGGCTTAATCCACTCCGTCGTCCTCGATTACCGTCATCTGCTCCTCACACACTGCGCTGCTGCAAACCCCTGAGAAAGATTACTCCGCTCAAGTAGTGTCACAAGGTCCGTGCTGCAGGAGTGTGTGTGAGTCTACTTAGGAACTATGTGAGTGAAATTAGACGGGGCTGCAACGCCCTGCAGCACCGGGGTGAAGGCCTTTGTCCTTGATGAGTAACACAAGGACAGTCTGAGATTTACACCCTAACTCCATACAGATATTTAAAAACAGAAACAGACAGCTTATCTTATTAGTCACAGGGTTTTCAGAGGTGTGGAGATGATTCCTTAATATGTGTTTAAGTAGATTTCGGTTCAAATCACGCACCCGTATTTGGCCTGTTGTCACTACGAGAGGTTGGTTACACTTCACGTTGTGGGAGATGAGAATCCTTTTGAGCCTCACACTGGGTCCTTCTTTGCTTGAACGTGAATGTCAATTGCTGAATGTTCCCGTTTCTGTCTCAGGGCCGTAACCCCTTCTTCTTGGAGCCGTCTGTGATCATCACTATCACTGATGGGAACAAGCTCACCCACAGCTCCGGCGTGCCAGACGAGGTCAGAGGCCTAAACAAACGTTGCCGATGCTACTTTGCACTGTTTGTGCCAATGTGATCTGTTCACGTTTAATAGTGAGGTGCACGAAAACCGTGACGGGTGACACCTTTTACACAAACAACTCTCGCCCCCCCCTGTGCTTCCGTCCCCTGTGCGTTGTGCAGCTGCACCTGCCTCTGAACTCTCCATTGGCTGGCAGTGAGCTGACCAAGGAGCCCTTTCGCTGGGACCAGCGTCTGTTTGCTTTGGTGCTGAGGCTGCCGGGAGCAGCCTCGCCGGACACCGAGCAGCTGGGTAGCGTCCCCACAGACGAGTCCGCCATCACCCAGATGTGCGAAGTCACCGGAGGTTCGACCTTTCTTGTTATTTCGCTGGGGTCCCGTAGAAACATCCTCATACACATACAATCCATTCTATTAACTGTCTTGATTGTGCCGTTGTTGTTGTTGTCGTCTCTCTCAGGACGGTCGTACTGCGTGCGAACACAGAGGATGTTGAACCAGTGTCTGGAGTCTCTGGTGCAAAAGGTTCAAAGTGGTGTTGTCATTAATTTTGAGAAGACGGGGCCCGATCCGCCTGTGGTGGGGGACGGTGAGTGGCACACCAACTGGACACAAAACAACAACCCTGCTGCAAATATGGCCTGTTTTATGGACACACTTAAAAACACACATTGCTAAATGTAGTTATTACATTTTCACCTTACAAAATATTTCCTCCTCAAAGGCGCAGAAGAGTTAGTAAAACACGAGGCTCTGTGCACATTATCTCCATCCATTTCATGGAGCGAAGATACTGTGGGGAGTAAAACAGGGGAAAGCAAAAAAGACTTCTTATCTCGGATGACCACGGGGCAGTTAAACACTACAAACAGACCTGAGTGCATCTGTGCTCTGTGTCTGTGTCAAGAAATGTCCTGAAATCATTTCATACAAAAATTATTTCACCGATAAACCGGAAGTTAAATGTTTAAAACAAAGTTTCTTGAGAGAGTTAAAAGAGTATTTCATGAAATGAATTTGGATCTGTGACTCAGCATGTTTGACAGCTGTTGCTTTCAAATTCACATAAATTGTTTGTGTTTCAAATCGGGCTAAGAAATATGTTCTGTTATGTATATGTCTTTTTTTCATTTTCCAGACAACCCGGTGGAGGCCAGTCGTCCCGTGTCGTCATTCAGCGCCCAGCCGTGGCACAGTTGCCACAAACTCATCTACGTCCGACCAAACCCGAAGACGGGGGTCCCGGTTGGGCATTGGCCCATTCCTGAGTCCTTCTGGCCAGACCAGAATGCTCCAAGTCTGGTGAGCGGAGATGCAGAGATCCCAGCAGCACCTTCAGTGGGTCGTGCTGCACGTCGACTCATAGAGAGCTGGTGGACACAAGCTTCCTATTTGTCTTTGACGTGATCTTTGCCCGTCTTATTTGGTTTGCCTTTTCTACAGCAACAGCTGTTCTTCTTATCTCGATAGCACCGTGATAGAATTTCCATTTCTTACTTGAATTTGGTAGTCAAAGGTCATTGTGACCTCACAAAACTCATTTTTGGTCATAACTCAAGAATTCATATGCTGATTATAATAATTGCACTGCACAAATATTGGACCAAATGAAGTGAATTGGACATACATGGATGTAAACTGCAACAAGACTGGTCTGTAGAGGGATACAACCTAGTTCTTGAGGTCTTTTTAAAGAACACGTAGTGTGTTTGCTTTCTGTGGACACAAAAAACGTCTAAAAGGTCCTCTATTATCTCCGTCTCCTGCCACCAGCCGCCTCGCTCTGCACATCCCGTGGTGCGTTTCTCCTGCGTGGACTGTGAGCCCATGGTGATTGACAAGCTTCCCTTTGACAAGTATGAGCTGGAGCCATCTCCACTCACCCAGTACATCTTGGAAAGGAAGTCTCCACACATGTGCTGGCAGGTAAGGCAGACGTTCACACCTCCCATCAGCTGGTTTCCCCGTTGTTTCAGTAGTTTGTAGAAATGTAATGATTGTCATTCCTGAAATGACTTCTGAAGTGTCCTTATAACATTCCTCGTTGTGCTCAGGTGTTTGTTAACAGCAGCGGCAAGCAAAATGACCTGGGACAGCCATTCGGCTACCTTAAAGCCAGCACCACGCTGACCTGTGTCAACCTGTTCGTCATGCCTTACAACTACCCAGCAATCCTTCCCCTCCTCGGTAAGACACAACAGACAGCTTTCCTTTAAAGTGGCTGGAAAAACCTCTGGCTCAGTAGGTCAGAGCTGTTAGTACATTTAAAAAAATATTTTCCTTTTCCGGGTCACTCTATCCTCTGCAACAGTGGATCTCTAGTAATGCTATTGAATAGCTGATGAGCGTATAACTGTGAGAGGTGCAGCTCACTGGACACAGATCCAGAATGCTAAAAATGTCTATTTTTCTCCTTCCAGATGATCTGTTCAAAGTACACAAACTAAAACCAAACCTTAAGTGGCGCCAGGCCTTTGAGATGTACCTGAAGGCAATGCCTCCGTACTTCTTCTTGGTAAAGTGATGCGTAAATATGTCTCCCTGGCTGCCTTAACTAAAAGTTTACTACACGCATCCTTTTTCTGCATGTAACTAATATTTTCTCTTGCCATCTTCTGACAGCCCCTAAAAAAGGCCTTGAGGATGATGGGTGCGCCCAATCTTATTGCAGACACCATGGACTGTGGCCTGAGCTACAGCGTCATCTCTCACCTGAAGAAGCTCAGCCAGCAGGTAAAGAGAAAGGACTCCACTATATCTTCACACAGACTGGAGTTGTTTGCTCCTATAATAGTGCTGAGTATCAAAAAGAGAACCTTTTCAAGAGAATAAACTGTTTTTTATGAATGTTAAAGTATTCAATAGTCATCTTTAAGACCCTGAAGGAGTACCCCAGAATGCATTGTGGGTATGTGCTCTAAAGAGCATTCCTGTTGCTCTCAAGGCAAAGATGGAATCCGATCGTCTCATCGTGTCCGTGGGGAAGAAGGCTCCGCAGGAGCCTGGCATTAAGGTGAAGAACCACACCGTCTCTCTGTCTTTGGCCCACCGGCGGGACTGCAAGCAGCTGCTGCAGGGGATCACCGGGGAGGGGCCCCTTCGCCTGATGGACATGAACTTCAAAGAGTTTGCAGGCTTCCAGATTGCCCTGCTCAACAAGGTGGATTTCTGAAAAGCACTTTCAGGCTTCTGGCTGTTGTTTCTACAGAAATGATGCACTGCTATTATTTTATAGTAAAAAAAGGAAAACATATATATATATATAGACACGGGATATGTTCGAAAATGATTATGCTGGTGTGTTCACAGGACCTGAAGCCTCAAGCTTATCGAAATGCCTACGACATCCCAAGGCGGAACCTCCTGGATCAAGTCACCCGGATGCGCTCCAATTTGCTGCGGACATCGCAAAAACTGATCCGAGGGCAAGACGAAGGTATAAAGTTCCACAATTCTGGAAACTTCTACAGAAAATATGATGTGATATGTTAATGTTAAACTAGGTTAGTTTTAATTGAGTTGTTGTTCTGCCCTCATCTTGATAAAACAATATGAAACACCTCTAAGGCATCCTGTGTGATCCTCGCCGCCTTCTGTTGATGCTTACAAGATTCTCTGTGGTTGTCAGACTATCTGCACAGCATCCCAGTGGCTCAGATGGGAAACTATCAGGAATACCTCAAAATGATGGCGTCTCCTCTGAGAGAGATCGACTCTGACCAACCTAAGCGCCTGCACACGTTTGGAAATCCTTTCAAGCAGGATAAGAAGGTAAAAATACATCAGCACAGAATACAGGTTGATGCGTTTTACATATGCACAAAGGGACAATAATCGGTCCCTCCGTCCTTGACTCTCGTGTTTTCTCAGGGGATGATGATCGATGAGGCGGATGAGTTCGTAGCTGGCCCTCAAAACAAGAAAAGAGGAAATTCCAATGACGCCAACTCCAGTACTACTATGAAGAGAAGGCGGAGCATGTCCCCATTTCTGCGGCGGCCACAGACTCCCCCTGCAAGCACCAACCACGTGGTGGCAGGAAAGAGTCCGGTAGGGGTTCAGCCACCGCCGGGCCTCCTCAAACCCATCCCACAGCACAAAGGTAAGATCAACAAGTAGAACGTGACGCTTGTCTTCAATCTGCATCCACGAGGCCCAAACGGCACTGACTTGTAGTTTTGAGTTGTTGTGGTTTTGCCTCCCTCAGGAGTGGATGACAACGACGTGGCGCCCAGTGAAGGCACTGAGAGTAACGGGGACGGGGCTCTGGAGCCGGAGTCGGGGGACATCTGGCCCGCTGAGATGGACACTGTAGCAGACAGTCCACCTCCCCCGAGCTCAGAGGAGAAGGCCGGGCTGGCAGCGGCAGACCCGGGAGAGGACGTCTACATGGCGGAGGTGGCCGTGGTGGACAACGGTATAGAGGAGCGGACACCGGAGGAGGAGGAGGAGGAGGAGCAACGCAACTGTGACCGGATGAGTCCACAGAGCCAGCTGGAGGACTCTGACGCTGACCCTGCACCGCTTGAGACCATATTCATAGCCCCGCTGGATGGGAGCCACGCAGAGCTGAGGAGTCAGGTCATCAGGGAGGTCCGCAAACCTGGGCGAAGTGAGTCAGTGCAGCACAGCACGTTGCGTTCTGTGTCGTTGTAGTCCGATGACGTCTCTTCATCTCTGTGTGGTTTATGTTCCCAGACTATGAGACAATACTCAGTCTCCTTCAGCAGGTCAAAGGTCCAGTTGATGTTCAAAGGTACTTCATCCATCATGCAATCAAAGAGGCTGTCAGGTAAGAAAAAGGACTAATTTTCAAGATTTGAGGAATAGGGGAAGTGGAGAAGTTCAGAGTCTCTGACACTAGGCGGTCGTCTTCTAACTGAAGACTTGTGTCACTGGAGGAACTTGTATATTGTAGATGTATTGTCTTTAAAGCAGGTATACAGATTTTCCTCTTTTATTCTTGTTCTGTCTAATGTCCTTTGCCTCTCTGGCAGGTTCAAGAAGCGAGTGCTGATCCAGCAGCTGGAGACGTCCCTCGCCGAGTTCGAGGCGAAGCAAACAACATCCTCACAGCTTCCAAATGACCACGGAAGTTAATGATGAACTTCGCTACAAATGGGCCTATTTTTTTCAAATTAAACACCATAAAAAAGGGACATCCTGGTCGGCTGGCGTAAAAAAGAACTGATTGGGAGTAGAAATGCACTGGTATCAAACACTCCCAATGTCCCTGCGCTGTTACCTCACATCCTGCTAGAGGATAAGAGGTTCAGCTGGAGGAGGGGCCCTCCGGACTGATCCACTGACGAAGTATAATCCTCTTCTTATTGACAGATGCCTTAAACATCCATATGGCTTTTGTCTGTGCTGCCGCATTGTTAGGTAGACACAAAACAAACACACACATACTCTCTATACAAGATGCTGAGTGCATGGGATCAACGGGCACTTTCCTGTTGTCGATGTTCTTCTAGAGCAGACCTTTCTTCAGCTGGTCTGAAAAGGGTTTGTAAGACCTCAACCACCTCCTTAAGATTATATATATATATATATATATATATATATATATATATATATATATATATACACAGTTAATACAATAACTGAGTGAATATCTCACCCGAGCAGAACACCAGTGTTTTGGAACACCAGTGTTTTGGACTGGACATGGACTCATCATCAATACTAATATCCTCTTACAATTAAAGCAATAGAACATGAGCTGAGAAGAACGCAGGCGTTGGTATCCATTTAGAGTTGAATGCTCAAGCCGAACACACACACACACACACTGGCACACGGTGCAGTAATACTCCACAAACACTCCATTGATTCCCAAATACAACTTCATTTGGAGGAATTTGTGCATCTGTCCTGGCGCAGTCGACAGTCAATTTGGATTTGAACAGCTGGTAATCTGAATCTGCAGCTTTTTAAATGAAGCTAAGTTAGCACTCCTTTGTTTTCCTTGTTTTTTATGACAGATGTACACTACTTTTTAATGTTCATATGAAATATAGATTATTTTTATGAATTTATTTCAGAGTATAAGAAATATTTTGAATGAAATGTTTAAAGTAAATTTTGTATACTGTTAAATACATATATAAAACTGAAAGTTTTATGAACCTGTGTGAATGGTATCCCCATCTATGTGTCAGTGTGCGCATTGGTTTAGTTGTAATGCTTCAGTTTTGCATTATGAAATGGATTGACTGACTGCAGTCGTCCTAAACCCTTTGGCTGGTCAAAAGCGACATCTCCTCTTGCCACCTGTCCAACAAAGGAGTGACTTTTTCAGAGGCTGGACTACATCAACGTATTCAGTAATTTATGGGAAAGAACGGTCATTCTAAGTGATATTTTTTATAGTATAAATATTTCTCAAAACCTGAGAATTTTCAGCCTACATCATTTCTATTAGAAACAAACCACATGGAGGCGAGGAGAAGTGGAAGATTAAAACACAAACGTGACGGTTAATTCAATAAGTCTTAATTGTGGACAGATCTCTGGATAACTGGCAGACGCTGCCACCTGGAGGCCAACAGGAGCAAGTGATCAGGTGGAAATTTTTGTGATGCAACAGTCCAACAAGGTCACACTCCCATCTCTCCATTGTCACCATCACCTTCATGTCCCTCACAGCAAATTACTTTAATCTGTGTTAGTATGAGGATTAGTTACCAACTCCTCCTCACTGGTTAAGCAGGATATTATTGTGCCACTGCAATCGCATTGGTCTTTTCCCCCTACAGCTTGCAGCAAATATTTATTCCCCTTCCACCAGGCTGAAGAAATCTTCCCATCACTTATGAGACCAGACAAAAAATAAATTGACATCTGATAAAATCAGTAAGCCTTTTATTAAATTAAAAACATCTGTTGAATCTTAAAATGTAAAATGAAGGAAAAACGAACTTAACCAAATTATTGTACCATAACTTTCTAGTTTGTGTTAATGTTCACAGTATCCGTGAAACGTTTCCCGCTCTCACACCTCACCTTCAGTGACTTCCCGTAGCCGGGAACAAACCGCTTTAATGCACACAGGGGTCACAGATGAGCCTTCATGCTTCTAGGAAGTCAAGGATCCTCAGTTCATACGACAAAACTCATTTCCGTTCACAAAATGATGACAGTTGCCAAGGACTGATGTGACTGAAATAAAACAGTAACGAAAGAGGCGTTTTCAAGCCCTCATACAAAGGATGTACAAAGGACAGCGTTATCCCAATTCAGTTCAGAAGGGACAAAAAGGGCCGACGTCTCTGTATCTTAAGACTCCAAAGCGATAACATACTGTATATACAAACACATCCGCTTGAAAAATTGAAGGGTTGGCACAGTCACTGTTGAATATTGCGGTGACCACTTTTTATGGAAAGAGAAGCATGTTGGAAGAGCATATTAGTTTATGTACAAATACAAATTAAAGTAGAGGAAGGTGAATTCTGGCTTTGCCTCCTCGGTCTAGCAAAAACAAATGTTATCTGACGTTGATGTCGTTACAGGTGTGGAAGTCTCAGTGCAAATGCTCCAGCTTGCGTAGCCGAATGGGGTCGGGAAGACCTTGCTGATTGCGTACGGAAGACGGCTCCTCCTCCGGCGAGCGGAATAGCACCCGGCCCCGGTGATTGAAAAGGTAAAAGGACGGGTGGTTCCTCAGCGTATCGAATGTTCTGGAAAAGAATAAAAGTTATCAAGAGGGAGGCCCATTTCAAACGGACGGTTCGTGCACCCCTTCTGCTGCGCCGGGTGCGATGTGGGTCACGGAGGTCGAGTCTAAGTCCTCATATGATAGGAACAAGAATTCAAATTTCCAAACTGACACGTACGAAATCCAGACGTATTAATTAGTAATCTTGCAATTCTGACCGCATGCATTCTTATAGTATAATATGAAAAAGCAAAGGAATCGGTGGTACGCGATCACCCTCACGGTGTGCACTTATTTTGCCATTACAATAGCTTTCCTAGAGGCATGAGACTCAATTAAAAATAAAATTCTGTTTATCGTGGTTTACATGTTTTTTTTTTTTGCATAAAGCAAAAAAGGACCACGTGTAGACGTCTCATTGTTTCCCTTAGATTTGTTGTACTGTTTCTCCAATGCACCCAGTGCATCCGTGTACAACGTATTACGGAAGATGATAAACGAAAAAAACAACACCAACTCAGTGAGCCTCAGTGGGAATTCATCCCGGTTCTGGTTACTATAGATCTAATCTGGGTGGCGGAGCGGCTTCCCCTGAGGCAGAGAACACAAACAACTACACCATCAAGGGAGCGAGCTGCTGCACAACCTACTTGTTCTTGAGCTCTGAGGAGGCGTCCATGTCTTTGAACTCTCCAGCGATGTGAGCGATACCGTAACAGGTCATCACAAAGGACAACAGGGTCTGTAGTACAATCTGCAACCACAGAAAGAGAGAATGGTGACGTAGAGAAAGAGCTTTGGCAATTGTTGGGATAGACAGGCGGTTATTTAAAAGGAATGAAAGTCACTCACATCAATAGGTAGTGTCTCGTTCTCCTTCTCTGTGAGTCGCATGTATGCGCGATCTAATGGGGGGGGGGGGCACATGTTAGCCAGCAATTCAAATGAACACCATTGAAACTGTATCATATGTTTAAACGGACGGCAAATATCGTCTTCATTGTGTAGCACTTAACATTAGCGGAGAAATGTTAACGTTGACTGCGGATTAAGATTCCGGTCTCTCGCCGTGAACGGGGCTAAAATGCGCTAACATGTTAATTAGCTAGCCGCAGCACCGAAAGGCCCAACTTGCGGTTTCATCCCCCACGTCCGGTGACCACGGAGCCCCCCTGACATACGCGCATATGCCGAAACCTGTGTTCTCACTGCCCTCCCTGAAACTTACGCTGTGCTGCTGAGAAAGCTGCGTGAGCTAAGGCAAAAAGTCCGACGCCGACAACACCTTTCCAAAACGACGAGGCCATCTTCTTCCAGGGTGATGAGGAACCGTGTGCAGTGTCGTAAAACACTGTCGTAAACAGCTGCAACCATGACAGGGTCAAAAAAAAAATATATATATATATATATATATATATATATCATATTTCTAAACTAAATCAACGTTGAAGTGAAATATGTGGAATGTGCGTTTCATATTTGTTTGTTTATAGATACTTGCTTATTTATGTGTCATGATAATACGCCTGAAGTAGTGGGAGCTTTTACTTTGAATGGATCACTTAACTTCCGGATTAGCCACTGTGCCATCCGGTTAGCTAACGCAGAGGTTTCATCTCATTCAACATTCAGCTACTTCACATTATCTCTTCAAAATAGTCCCACGAAGTCATTCGCACGTTTTGAATAAACACAAAAATGGCCGAGGCCCTTCAAAAGAAATTGAAAGCGGAAGTAGATAAATTTACGTTGATGCAGAAAGGTAAGTTAGGTGACAGCTAGCATTGTGTAGTTTCTCAAATCGTGCCATGTTGCAACGAGCTAACTGACCATATTAGGGCAGCTAGCTATGTGTTTAATCAACGTGTGATAAATGTACGTTTATTATATTATTTATGGTTGCAACAAACCCATTATTTTCTAATACCATTCTGCTGTTTAGATGTTAGCAAGAGCATGTCAGCCAGACAGAAGTTGGAGACGCAACTGGCAGAGAACAACATTGTCAAAGAGGTAACTAACGTTAGCTCATTTTCCCAGCTCAGTGTTTTCTAACCTTTATTTGTGTATTTAATCTGTCTCTCTCCCTTTCTTTCCAGGAGCTTGACCTGCTGGACACCACAAACACCGTGTATAAACTTATTGGCCCTGTATTAGTGAAGCAAGACTTGGAGGAGGCCAAAGCCACCGTCACCAAAAGGCTGGAGTACATCAACGGAGAGATGTGAGTCACTGGAGGGTCGTGCTCGTGTCTGTAGTATTACAGCATAAATTACTTCGGTTTGTGCAGAGCAGTAGTACAGAAATACTTCCACATTCCATACATCCAGTACGGTTCCAGTTGATGGTTGGTTCATTATAGGGCTGCAACTAACGATTATTTTGATAATCGATTAATCGGTCGATTATTTCTTCGACTAATCGATGAATCGGATTTTTTAAAAAAAACGGCATTAAAAAGCTTTAATTTCCAACCCTTTATTCTAAAACAGAACCTCAAATTCGTCAGAACTAGTTCTTTATACTAAACTCACAAACACACCCTCATGTTCACTTGAAGCATATTCATTAAATTATTACCATCATTGTAGTGCAAGTTAAGTAAATGCATACAGCTAAAAAACAAGTGCTATGAGATGAATTTAAAATGGCATTTGTAAATAAATGCATTAGAGGCTTCTTCGTTGATTTAATGGATCACCATGTGTCTCCCTTTACAGGCATAACATCAACTACCGTATAACCTACAGTATATGCGCAAGCGCACTGGACTACCATATATGACAGCATTAAAAAGTACAACGCACACAAATATATTTGTCAACAATAACCAATATGGGACAAAGCACAAAATATCTGTACTACTACTGTTATTAGCGAGCTAACGGTAGCTTGATCAGCTGGGTGACGAGTAAACAGGAGGCTTGTTACGTCCCTCACGTCAAAACGGGACAACGTGGACCGTGACCCCCCACGCTCGCACACCTTAGACGAATAGTCGAACAGATGTCTTTCCCTGCGTCATGTGACTCACAACAACTGCCGGCTGCTCTTTCCTCTACGTCGGCTCGGCGCCTTTACTTTTATTTTTGCTTCGTGCGCATCTCTGCAACTCATTGAGTGACGTAATAATCGCGCGACCCAACGAATCGATAAGGAAATTCGTTGCCACCGCTTTTTAATAATCGAATTTGATCGATTCGTTGTTGCAGCCCTAGTTCATTATGATCACTGCTGATAAAACCCTCAGTCAAAGTGTTGGCACATGCTAAGTCTGAGAAGAGGAAAGATGTTCTCTGTAATACTAACATCGTTACTACCCATGTTACAGATTGTATAAGATCAGAACTAAGCTGTAGTCTTTGATCCTTTGATGTGACATTTAATCTGAATAGGGTTGTATGTTTTCATTATACATGAAGTGACATGTCCTGAGGGGGCACCAGTTGTTTGAATATTGCACAGCTTGTATTCATTTTAAGGGGTTTGTCATTCAGGTGTCCCAGTTGTGAAAAATATCCAAATTCAATACAAACTTGTCCTAAAATTGATGCTAATCCGCTATATTCCGCTTCAGGTGTTGCATCCCAAGTCCACAGAATTTCTGGACGGAATGTATTATCAAAGGCCTGATTGACATGTCTCATTTTAAAATGCTCCTCCAATTTTGACTCCGAAATACATTTGTCTTTTGCCTAAATGTTGAGGACCCAACTTGAGAATCAGTTTATGGATTTTCCCTTTTCCTGTTACACAACATTAAAGAGACATTTTATTTTGTTACCACCAACATTATATATATGTTTTTGCCAGCTGTCCATCAGTTTAAAGCAATAACTAAGAACATTGGGCCTCATTCACCCATGTCTTCCTCAGTTATTTCTTACATTTATTCTTGACGTGTGATTCATGACGTGTGATTCATGACGTGTTCCTAAAACAGCGGAATTGTTCACAGGTGCCTTCTTAGAATGACGAATCCCAATATGGCATAAATTGAAAGCTCGTGCCCCGCTGCTCCTATTTAGCAACAGTTAACGCACCATTAATTCCCATAAAAGGACCTGAGATGGCAGAGCCGTGTGCACACTCCAAAAGAAAGGAAAACTTCAGTAATTCTGAAGTGGCGATATTGCTGCAACGTATGTAGTAGTGTCAGCAGTGGCTACAAAATGGTAAATAAAACGATTCATGGAATGCAATTACCCAGGGAGTGACTGCTTTATCCGGAGACACATTATGTGTTTTACATTATGTGTAAAATAATGAAAATAATTAGTTGCAATAAGAAAACATTGGTGAATGCCAGAATCTTTGTGAAAACTGCGTAAATGGAGATTAAGCACAAATTAGTTCTGAAGCACGTTTGGTGAATGCGCCCCATTGTCCTTGATGATCATGATGTACCTTGTGATATTTACACTGACAACTTACTATTGTCAACACAACTTAAATATTATTAGGGATAAATATGAGACTTTAAGAAAGATTTCTCTGTAAAATAACGTTATAAAGAAAAATAAAATGTACCTTAATCTGGTTAATATTAGTTAATATTAGCACATACAAATAGCTCCATGTGGATATTGGCGCATAGCTTAGCTATGCTATGAAGTTCATTCACATGTAGAGGGCAGTGAGGAGTTGGTGGAGTCCAACCTTTTTTTTTGTTTGGAGTATTATGCAACAACATCTGGGCAACCGCAGTGTGTTTTGAATTAACGTCATGAGGTGGACCGTTGTTTTTGGTGCCATTTAAATGTATTTTCTTTCATGAAAGCGTAATTCCCATTGCCTGGTCCCTTATGTTTCAGTCAAAATATTATTACACAATTATCACTCTCATTTTGTACAGAAAGTGGACAAACAATACCTGTGAACAAACACGTCGTCAATTTTTGTTTTATTTAGGGATGCACAGATTTATTAGCAGTATTTTCTTTAATGACTGCCATTGGATTATTGTGCAAATAAGATGCCCGTCACCGATAGCAGCAGCTGGTGTTTATCTGGTGTGTCACATGTGTGTTGTGTTGGTTATTTTCAGTCGGGCAACAGTGGCCGGCATAAACAGCCTCTGATTTGTAGAAGTCCCTGGCGGGACATTGAGAGCGTAGCCGCTGCGATGAGCACGTCTTGTTATTTTTTTAAATAAAAGATTGTCACTTCTGTGGGAGTGTTATAAGAGAAGGATCAGCGACATTCTGTTTGTTGGACGTCTTTCTGTGCAGAGGCCCAATTACCAGAAATCGAACCGTGCGCATAGATACTTTATTTCACTACAGCATCATTTATAATAATTTATTTTATTTATAATAATACATTTTATTTATAACGCACTCTTCATCAGCAGCTCTCCGCGTGCGACCGAAATGGCGAACCATAGGTAAAACATAGTTTATATTTAGATTTAAGTACAAGTAAAGAAATAACAGAACTGAAAATGTAAAAGGGCACAATATATACACGAAAATATAATACTATTAAATGAACTAACTAAACAATATTGCAAAGATCAACCAAGCAACGATGTTGGATGAGAAGATAAATAGCTGAGCTCCACCAGGTCAGAGATTCTTCCAATCTCTCTAGTAGTTGTATTGGTATATTTTTTATAACACATTTTTGGGAAATCACATTAGAAACGGAATGATTGGCTCTTGGCCAAATAGTCATGTTAAACTGTACTACAAGTCAAGAATCCTAGAACCCTTTTTAAGAATATTCCTTTATTTCTCTTTATTTTTCCTTTTACAGTCAAAGGTACGAGAGTCTCTTGAAAGACCTGGAGAAGAAATCCGATCAGCACCGAGAGCTCTTGTCCAGTTTGCAGCAGGAGTATCAGAAAGCTCAGGGTCTGGCTGTGGGCAAAGTCTGACCGACTGATCCGGCTGCATGCTCGCGCACACGCGCACACACACACACACACGCACACACGCACACAACGGGTAATTCATGATTTAACGTTAGACCTTAAACATTAGGCCGAAAATACTCCTGTACGCTGTATCATGTCAGTTATTTGTTTATCACAGTGACTCCTTTGTTGCTAATAAACTTGTTTTTCATGAGACGTTGTACCTCGTTCTTGTAGTTTTCTCTCTCTTGGTCGATCACACAGAGGTGGCTGGTGGACGTTCGCTTCAGTCACCGGGGCAGTCCGGGGGCCATGCGGAGCAGACAGATGTTGTCCCGTCTCGACCCGCCCCACAGATAAAAAGGCGCAGCGGCGCAGCATTGTTCCTTTATTGGGGGGGGCTTTCCCCCCGTCGTCTCCCACCAGCGGAGGATTTAAGGGACATGAATAGTTAAATAGTCTTAAAAGTCTTTCACTGTCTTTGGAGAAAGAAACGTTCCTGTGAAGATGCTAACTCCGGGCAAACAGAGATATCCCACGTGACTTACATGTGGGGTTGTAATAGCGTAACATCGATTCAACTTTAATGAAAGCAAATGTAAAGGTGATGCCTACGCTGGTTGTGCCAGATACTTTCTGGGATAAACATGTAGTCGTTATACGCAGTTATCCGTCCTGTGCGTTAAAACGGCCGCAGTCTGGTAAATGTCGGCTTTATGCGAGCGAACGATGGATATTCTGAATTTAAAGGCACATGTCTAGACTGCATCAGGGGTTTACATTGTATAGTTTAGTGTTAAGGCTCGCATTACAATGTTTTATACCCCGTATTTAATTTGGGCAGCGAAATTCCTGACATACAAATGCGCAATGATAATACCACCCGCACACCTAAAAGACGAGCCGTGTTCGTGCACGAGCCCGGCACCTCTGGCGCGTGGGTCGCGGCAAACCAACACGTGGAGGTGTTGAGCAGCTGTGATGCTGCCCGACACTATGACGTGACACACACACACATATATATTAAACACAGAACAAATGATCTTGAAATTCAGAGAATTTGGTCCGAATAGCTTCATTTGATCAGTTACTCGAGCTGACTGCGATATCAAGAATTCTTGATCAAGAAAGAATACACTTCAAAAAATCACCCGATATACAAACTTTAGATAACTCCAGAATATGTTTTTGGCTAGCTTATGAAAATATAATGTAGTGAAGTGAGGCCTCGTTATGTGAACAATCACATGGTTTGTTGATGAAGTCAAAAGCGGGATTCACTTGGTGTTCGCACTGATGTGGCAAAACCAACACACCAACCGCTGATTGAAACATTCAGGGTTTGTGTTTCTGATGCGATAGTTGGATGAAAATGACTCTCATGCAACTTAAATTTAAGATCTAAAGTCCTTTGTAAACAAAGCGAGGACTTTCAAGTTAAATCATCCGCGCTGGACTAATCCGTCTCTATTTTACACTCACAATAGATTCATCTAATCTTCATTATACAGATGCCTCCCAGATTAAAACCTAATCTAATTTCCAACTTTAATTCATTTACTTAGTCCTGCTGGCTTTTCTTGGGGGGGTTAAACACAAAGGCGCACAGAGATCAGCCTCTTTGATGACGGATGTCATTGGAAGGAACGTGTGTATCCACCAGCAGGACCAACCAGGTCAATATGATGAATGGGACGACGTTCGTTTAGAAAAATGCACACCCCAAATAAAGGGGAAACCATTTAAAGTACTTAGAGGGACCTGGAACCACACAATTCCCTTGCGTTTACTGCAAGTACAGCGTCTTGCAAAATATTTCTTTCTAATTATTTGTAACGTAAATCGCACAACAATTTGGACCCACGCATCAGCGTGGTGAGACGACCTCCCTGCCGCATGCCGATCTGATGGTGAACAATTTATGGGACCTTCACGTGTGCATTGAGATGTTGATGAGCGGGAGGCCGCTGCTTCTAGCGCAGTTGTTCAGATGTAAAGGCGCACGAGTGGCCATCACCAAAGTGTCCACACAGATTCATCCAATCTGCAAATCTTCTTAGGAGTCTCACATTCTTTGATCCGGTTAGCCAACCCGAGATATCAACTACGTCTCTGGTTTGTTGACTGACTATTTGGATCGAAATGTTGTTTATAGTTAAGTAAAGCCCCCACGCACGCACGCACCATCAGCACAGCCAGCTGCCGCCTTTTAGGCACTCTCCCAACACCATCTGTGCCATTCTGCACCTGAGAACGTGCAGTAGACAAACAACTGAGCACGTGTTTCTTTTTAGCCAAAAGGAGACACACTTACGTTTAATAAATGACCACACACTTCCAAATTGTAGCACTTCATAATGTTCCTTTATCTATAAGCAAGTTGTAAATCGGCTTATTTAATGAAATTGTACTTTTTATGGGTTTGTATCCTTATGGTTGAAATTGTCAGCTAAATGACATCATATTTTATTGATGAATGAACGTAACATAAGCTATTGTCAATTTTCAGAGTAAACTGGATCGCTAATGGTTCTGGTCAGAACATTTCCGGCATGGAGATGGGCGCCAAAGGTTTTTTTTTTGTAAATGAAATGTCTCCACACCTGATACTACGTTGGCCTTGAGCTGTCTGGCTGCTGAACAGTGTGTGAACAACTCTCCTTTGCTTTTCTACATTTGAAAAAAACTGCACTTAGGATCCTAGAAGCATCGGTCTCGCCCGCCATCAACATTTCAAAAGACGAATGCGTGCTCGCTGCTGTCCAGCCTGGCTGAAGTACGTGTTAACTGTCTTGTGGATGTCCCCCTTCTTTTGAAAAGGCCAGCTGTAAAGACTGCTCAAGTACAAGCTGTTCACACAGCATACTCAGCCACTCCAGTGATCAAGTTGTGCTTTTTATTCGAAATAGAAACAGAAGAAATAGAATTCAGTTCACAGTTTCGTATAGAATGAGATTCGTGTGCGCATTTTACGCACGCGTCTGTATTCTTGTTACAGCAAAAAAAAACATCCAGTGGACACCACCGCATAAAAAAGGTAACGTAAAAATAGCCAAAAAGGAAGAAAAAAAGATTATACTTGTGCAAAACAGCAAATCCTAAAGAAAAAACACCACACGGAGGTGGAGAAATATTGAGTTTTCATGGAAAATATTTCATGCGGGCTGTACAATTGAATACAGTCTGTAGGCGTATATTTCTAAAATACAATGTCACTGAGGCCAGGGTCTCCACACAGGATCGCTTATGTGCGTAAAGGCGGCCACGGGGGAGAGCAGCTCCCTGGTGTCACAGTGGAGGCCAGTACAGTGGAGGCCAGTACGCTGGCAGTGTTGCTGGTCCAGACTCTGGAGAGACGAAGTGGCCTGCGCCATGTGGATGTTTCCAGATGAGGATGTGTGTGTCTCGGGATCGGGAAGCGGGAGAGAAGCCGGATTCGCGACCTCCTCGGTGCCCTCCAACTCCTGGCTCTTGCTGGCTATGAAGCGGCTGACCCTCAGCAGGCAGGACCTCATGCCGTTTTGGAAGCTGTGCTGGTGGGTAGATTTGGGTTTCTGCTCCCCGGACGTGGAACGGTGATCTTTCTCCATCTTCAGGAAATTCACGACACTCTCCAAGATCTCTGCCTTCTCCACCTTTGGATTTTTCAGTTTCTAAAAGCATAACAGTACCCTCACTTAATATAACAGGACTTAAAGGCTACATCTTAGAAACATCATTTGGCAGATATTGACCTTAAATAAAACAATGGCGCACGGGCATACCTCGTCCTGTGTGTTGTCCAGCATCAGGAGTCGCAATGTCTCCAGACTTTGATTGATCCGCTCCCGTCTTCGTTTCTCCATCACAGGTTTAGGGACCTTGGAGTTAAAAAATATCACAATTACAACCTGGAAGATCATTTAAGGCAATATCCAGGAGAAGTCGGGAATGCGGCATCTTACCCTCCTCATACTCCTCGGCCTGTGAGACTCTGGACACGTTAAAGCTTTCATGCTCGGACTTGACTGGTGTCCAATCGCTCTCACAGTGAATCCAAACAGCTCCGGTTGTGCCCGCGTTGCTGCTTGTCGATATCCCGGCAGACGGCCACGCCTCTGCGGGACACGCCCCTCACCTTCACAGGGCAGCGGGCCTTCTCGAGGGGAGTTTTAATCTATTTGAATCTAATCCTCTTCTTTTCATTATTTTTCACTTCCGATCTCGACTGCGATTGTATAGGTTCAATAAAGGGATCGTGCGGTCTTTCATTGGTCACAGTAATGTAGTCTGAATGAAAGGTGTATTTTTTAATCACATTCCATAGGTGAAATCGGATGCAGTTGCGGTGAAGACCAGAATAATGTGTAACCTCCATTTCAATGAGGTTCTATAGCGCAGAAAACATAAGGCTTCTGCTGAAGCATATAGCTTCAACATTGCAGTGCTGCTATACTAGTTTGCTTTAATAATAAAATAGACGATCATCTCACACTAAAGTAAAAATGGAAATGTATCAAATTACACAATTAAATAGTTGCAACCGATGAAGCCATTTCTGTGTAATAATTATTTATTTGAAACTACCCTATCCCACATCTCTGAATGGGACCCGACCTGGTGTTGGAGAGCCCATTCACACCTAAACACCCGTGTTGGGTGAAGGAGACATTCTTGTCTGCAGACCAATCCGACTTCTCTTAAATCAAAAGCGACTTCTTTGAGGAAGAAGCTCATGTCCGCACTTTAAATGATTCCAGACCAAAGTTTGAGCTGACTGGACTTTGAGGGGTATTTTTTTTTGGGAGGTGGGGGGGGGGGTAGCTTTCTCCACACTGCATTTATCGGCACCCTGATCCCCATAATAGGCTTGAGTGTGGAGATAACACTGGGATGATCGGATCACGGGGATTCCGTAGATTAAGTGGCTTTTCAGGGGCAACGTGGACTTCCGCTTCAAATCAAAGGGAGGGCGATTAGTGGCGGCTCAGAGACCCCGGCTGTTCCCTATGGGAGCGGGGACTCAAGGACCCCCCTTTGGAACACATTTTAAATACCATCACCGCTTTCATTAGAGGCAGAAGTCGCATTCCCCTCCTCTCCTATATGCGTATGATGACGCAATAAGAAGAGGAAACGGTATATTTCATTTGTTTTGTTAAATGTAGCATTCAGGCGCCGTGGACCCGCCCCGTAAATACGCCCCATAATGTGCTCGGCGGAGCCTGTGATGGAGACGAATGGGTGAAAACGCGCCCTTTTGGTTGCAGAGAAACGGACCGTTGACTTCCAATATCGCGCCTCTTGGGGTGTGTCGGCCACCCTGACAAAGGGGGTGAAATCAAACGCAGCTGACTGGGCTGGGAACGCGTATGACCAACAGCTGCTTTGATTGCCTTAAAGAGGGATCTTGTGTGAAGTCCAAACATCGACCCGAGGCCGCGCACACTTTACACTCAGGTGCAATAATCATCTTCGCACGTGACGCGCTCCCCTTTGGCACCGCGCTGCCTGCCAAGTCCAGCTGGTTTATCAGTATCAGTTTATCAATAGTTTTTTCCAATTTGATGTGCTTAACTGTAAATGCGTGACATGGTGACACGTGCGTTCACAGTAAGACATGTGTGATTTTAAATACTCGATAAGTAAAAAAGGACCTCGTGACCAGCACCGGTCTCATTTGGTCTTTTCGGCACGTATTCAACGCGCGGATGCCTCACACGTCATAAAAAGTCCTCCTAGCTGCCCACTTTCTCACCTCATTTCTGTTCCCACGGGGGGGAAAAGGTTTTCCCATAGTATCACTTCTAGGGGGCGTTAAAGGTAATCACAGAGTTCACATGGCATTTGGCCTGATGAGATCGATACATTCTGTATCAGATGACTCACCAGACGCAGTTTCAATATTCAGACTGAAATGTTTTTAGGCAACAGAAATATTGTGCTCTGCCAAAGTGATGTAGGTCACCACTTACAAAATATACACAATTGGTCTTTGGTAAAATTGTTGCCTTTATACCTTTATAAATTATTTTACATATACCTAACTACCACTGTTTGAAATGAATAGTATCGATCGTGTGAATTAATTCAAGACACCAATAGTAAAGTTGGGACAGACCATTTTCGCTGTCGTCACTCAAGCTTGTCAGCCAATCAGAGAGCGCCTGAGCTCTCCTTATAATCCCCCGCAGGGCAAAGGAGCCCGTTTCCACTGCCAGAGTCTCCACTCAGGACATTCGGACCGAACACGACAGCATGACCAGGAAACTGCAAACTCCAATTCCGGAGGATGGCAAGAGGAGAAAAAGGGTAAGAAGTCATTTAATAGCCCACCACTATTTGTGAAGTTTCCCATTACAATGGTTATTTATCAGGTACAGCTTTGTTAACCATTTAGTCCCTGGAGCACTTCTAAGTCTAAGTCAATGAGAACTAGTTTGCTAGGTTGGTGCAGCCATGATAACGGACACCCGGCGACCCAAGTTGTTCTGATAATACCTGGCAACAATGTCACCACGAACTCTCGTGTCTCTCCAGGTTCTCAAACCAGTGGTGGAAAAGAAGAGAAGAGACCGGATAAATCAAAGTCTGGCTGAACTGAGAAGTTTGCTGTTGAGTCATACATCGGATCAGGTGAGTAAACCACATCCCGCCCGGCCTTTCTATTCAAGGGGAATCCTAACCTTACAATGATGAAATGAATTTCCCTCCCTTTACCACTGTTATCACCTACAGCGGCTTCAGAATCCAAAAATAGAGAAAGCAGAGATTCTTGACTTGGCTGTGGAATATGTTCAGAAGTGGACAGGTGGGAGGAAACTGAGAAAGGGTTAGTCAAACAAAGAGGTTCTTTAAATCCTTATCATTTATTACATTTCTCATGAAAATTCTCTTTTTTTGTTCAAGTCAATGTGTTAATCTTACACCCCTGTTTTACCCCTCACCCTGGTGTCCCTGCTGCAGAGTCGAGCAGTCCCTTTAAGACGCGTCCTGCAGCGGTAAGCCTCCGTCGCTCAGAGTCCAACGCTCCCGCTCTCCTGACCATGGAGAATGCGGGCTTTCAGCAGTGTGTGGCCCAGCTGACCAGCTACGTGCACAAAATAACACCGGCGCAGAGAACAAGCCTCATGGAGGGCCTGAGACATCGCACGGAGAGCCAGCAGGCAACCAACACTCAACCGGACTTCAGCCAGAGAGGGACGGAGGGACCGGATGGAATATCTGATGTCATTTGCACATCTGAGAGGAAAGAAGAGTATCTTAAGATTCCGTCTCACTCCCCCTTTCAGCCCCACTCTTGCTCCACACCGTTCCACAACTACCTGTCCCCCCCCACCCTCTCCTTGGCTCTCCCCTTCTTTCTCCACTTATGCCACCTCTCCTCCTTTCCCGTCATTTGGCTCTCACTTCCCGTTCCCCCCAAGCCTGTCACCTCTGTCCTCCAACACCTCCTTCTTCAGTTTCTCACCCACGGCCTCTCACTCCTGCCCCCCTCTCCTCACACTGAGATCCCCTCCACACCCTGTACTGAGGGAGGGGTCGCCACCAAACTCTTTTTTGACCATGTGGAGACCTTGGTTTTGATGGAGTGGCTCAGACACTGACAACCCGAGAGCAGCAGAGCCACCCGGTGGGAACTATATCAGCGATCATTGCCTGTGGACAGGATGAAGGACTCTCCATGCTGGACATGTATAGTGTACATATTATCCAAATTTCCTATATTTTGTATTTGCTTCCTAAATAAAAGTTTGTATGTTTACACAGCTGCCTTCATCCAAACACATATGAGCGCGTGGTATCAACGGGATGTCTATGTAAAACCTTTCTTTCAAACCAAATGATCTCAGGCCAAACAAGCCGTCAGAGTTTAGTAGCTTGCATGGCCCCTATGTAATAAAGGGCCAGATAATACATGTTTGGTATGATGTACTTGATTGAAAACCAGTTTAAATATCTTTATGTCAGGAACAGGCCAAAACCCATAAAATGCAGTTTTCCACTTGCGATTGCAGCTCCCAAAGATGTCTCAAAATGCCTCAATTTTGTTCACCAGCTACCGATTATAGAATTAAAATGTCATAAAATGCAATATGAGAGTCCCAAGAATACCATAGTGTATATAGTACCACATAGAAAACATCACATAGCACTGCAATCCGAGCATCAGATGGAACCACAGAGTACCGTGCCCTTTAACACCACTTGCCCGTTCCTCATCTACAGCTCTGCTGACCACACGAAGGCGCTGTAGAGAGGACACCGGTGGTCCCGTCCAAAAGTCTTTGGCCAATTTAGGCTGGCTAAAACAAAACCAAAACATGTTATTTAGCTTCAGGGTAACAATCTGCATGTATTATTATTGGGTGGATGAATCTTCCCGAGTAGCAGACAAACATGGGTCATATTATCTCTACAATGTGCAATGAAAGACAAAACTCACTACAGCTGCTGGATCATTGCAAAATGAATCCAAAGGTAAATTGCATTAGATGTATACTTTACAAAGCTTTAATTTGAACTTTAATCTATACGTTGAAGCCGTGTGATTTCTTGCAGCGACCTGTGCAACTCTATAAACAGTTGTTATTGTTGCTGTAGTTGCTATTGCTATGATGGCAACTTTTCTTTTTTATAGGATCTGTTTCTGCACTTTTTTGAACCTGCTATATCTTTGATCTATTTCTGACACGATAGCGACCCATTTCGACATCATAACTTTTTTTCTTCTATTATTTTTAGACAGCATTACTCTGTGAAGTTTAAAAGACATTTTTCAAATTACAATACTAAGACTTTGTTATCGTTTCTTTTGCTAAATTATAGCACCTTCCATTCTCCTTTGATCTGACATTTTAATAATTTTTTTACATACAAATGTTTCAACATTCTTAGGATTTTTTAGACGTATTATTCCACTAATTTTCTAACAAGACAATGTACAGTATAAACTGTGCAGTAGAAACATATTTTCTTATTTACATATTGTACTATAACATTAAAACATTTTTTAACATTATAACAACAATTCTTTGACACACGTTAATTGTTTTAGTGACACTGCACTACAATACACCATCCCTTTTCTTATACTATATAATGACTTTTGATGATTTGCACACTATACCTTTCGACATGTCGTCCTTTATGTTATATTTAAGAGAAGGGGTATTCAAGCAGAAATGAGAAAGACTGCAGGTGGGGACATCCACCGCGTATTTCCTTTACCACATTAGATGCACAAGCAGTTGTGCTCAATTCTCTGAATGACGTAGAGTTAAAATATACATATTTATAACGGCTATTTGGTTTTGGATACCACATTGTTATCATTTCAACATTATTCTCTGCAGGTGTTTGACGCTTACAAAACAGTTTCTGCAATACTTACCATGTAAATGAATAAATAAACCCATGAATAAATAATCACAGATAATATGATTTATTTTGGCATTTTGCTCTAAACTTTCCTAATGGTTAACTTGTGGCAACACGTTTGTTGTGAACAGGTGTAAAATGATTTACCACATCAGTGTATTTGTGTAAAAATGAGTTGTTTAGCTTCTGACCAAAAGAGGGCAGCATTGACAAAGTCGAGTCATGCAGCCTTGCTCTCATTTGGGATGAATAAAGGACGTCATTTAGTTACTCCATCAGGGATAGGCATAACAAAAAAAAGTAGGATCATCATTCTGCTTTCTTCTATCTCTCAGTGTGCAGCCATATCTTAACCTGAGGATTATATCTTTAAAACAACCTCTGAACATTTTCGGGCTGGGAGGCTCCGACAGGTTTGGCTTTAGTTGACAGAATTCATAACATGACATAACATGTCTTTAGATAATAGTTATCTCTTTCAGCCTCTTTACTCTCCTGTGAACTGGAGAATCTCTCGCTAAGCCATTATCGATGAGGTGGCCATTGTTCTTTGTCAGAAAAATGAGAGGGCCGGCACATCACGGGGAGCTTGATTCACTACACTGTCTCCCTATGTGTGTTTTGATCATTCTGCACGCATGTGAGAGCAGAGGTCGCTCACGCCAGAGAGGACGATTGCCGCGGCAAGCAACATAATTAATAGGTTCAGAGACCCCCCCTTGTGAGTGACCTGACAATGGTTGGAAACTCCTTGGCGTTTTGTGAGGACACGCCGATTAGAGCTGATCCTGTTACCCTCTTTAATCACTGTTTTAGTTTGCCATGAAAGCACCCGTGCATTCCGGATTTGGAGAAAGCTCGAGACGTTGTTCTGTGGAGATGTCCCAGGTTTGTTGTAAATGCCTGCTGATACTCTGGGCCTCCTGTGGTGTAGGTGCATTTAAAAAAAAAAAAAAAAAAAACTTAAAATCATGAACACAAAGAGCTAATTTGTGTGAAGCACCGGCGCTCTTCAGATCTCTCACTTCATGGCTAATTCTTAAATAACTTAAACTCTGTAGTTCTTTTTACTTTGCTGTATCGATGTGATCTTGATGAAATTGCACTTTCCTGTTTCTTGTTCTTCTGCGTTTGTATCCTTATGGTTGAAATGCACTCATTGTAAGTCGCTTTGGATGAAAACATCAGCTAAATGACATGTAATGTAATGATCTACCAAAATTTCTGTTGAAATGATCCAAATTTAATTTAACTGACATTCCTGTTCTCCTCTCCTCATTCCACAGGTCTCAACCAGTTTGCATATAATAGCAGAGGGTTATCTTACACAGAGGTCAGAATCAACTTCTCTTTAATCTAAGTGCAAATCCAAGACCATTTCATACTGATTCAGACACTTCAACCTTCCTCCAGATTAAGAAGAGTTGACTTGGTTTAGAAGACACATTTGTATTTGTCAGATTTAAGGACTACTGCAGACTCAGCATCCCTTGTGAAGAAGGCTCCTCGCTCCGATCGCATGTCAATACTCAAGAATGTAGATCTGTCACTACCCACAACTAAATATCATTTTTCCTCCCTTTCATTTCTCTCTCTTTGCGAGGCTCTTTGAAGTAATAGTGAAAAGATCCCAGACTGTAGCAAATTACCGGAGGACTGAAACATTTTTGACATAAGTCCTGAGAGACGGGGTGAGCCACTTTTCCTGGCGGCCCCTTTGCCGTTTTTAATCTGGGGCTGAGGGAGACAGCAGCGCTGACAGAATGATGGGACAGCTGGACGTGCATCCAAGCCAGTGGCAGAAGAACAGCCAGGAGAAGGGCCGCTGCAGACATCTCAGCAGGAACGACTCAGGACAGCAGACAGGATGGAGAATGGCCCGTGTGCACAAAGCACATCAACCTCCTCCATCTTCACCGTTTAGTTCTAGTTTTTAAAGTCATGGAGGATAGAACCGTAAATTCCAGATGCTTAAGATGAAAAATGTAGGTCTCAAATTTGCATTCTTCTGTACTTACAAATCCTATTTTGAGCGCACGAGGGAGTTGACACAAGTATGGCAAAACGCAGTGCATTGTGGGTAAGCGAATGGTGGAAGGCTGGAGACTTTTCATCTTTACCATATTGGTTACAAAGTAAAAGTGAAGTAGTGCTGAGGTAAACAGTGCAGTATACAAAGATAACTGAATTATCCTGTCGTTAAAAAGAAGCCCGCACCAAATCTTATCGGGTTCATTTAGCGGTCTGTAATGATTTGGTTCCTTTAAACCACAATGCTGCGAGCTAGATAATAGTTGAGAATGTCGTTCCCGGTAAGTGCTCTTGTTCTACGACACCTCCCTGAAAAAATTCCCAATTTACTCTTTTCATGGCGAATACAGTGTACTTAATGGAATCGTGCCAACTGATGAATCAGCATTGAGAGATAATATTGTTTCTAGAATGGCCAATTTTCTCACGGCCCAAACAGGGACCTAACAGTCGCATTTAGTCCACAGTTTAACAAAGACTGAATCATTATATTAGATTATATGAATAAACTTCAGAAGAAATTATCAAATGAATCCTATTTCCTTTCAAATGCTAAAGAGGTAAAGATGTGCCTGACTCTCCAAGTTTACTTTTTCTAGGCGCGGTGGCGCGGATAATATGGGATAGTTGTTCCACAGCTGTTGATTGCCACCAAAGTTCACTATTTACAGAAACGCATCATTTCTTGTTGGTTTGGCTTAAAATCGTAAATTGACCACAGTTTGTAGGAAGTGAGTGCACGCAGGGAATATCGCTGCACATAACCCCAATAAGACCACAGTATGTGGATTTTGCCCTTGAACAATTGAACCGATAATACAATCAAGATCGGATATCTGAATTAGTGGGCTTCAGAGATGCTGGTAGGCTGATGTTGTTACCATAAGGGTTCAAGCAAAGAAAAGAAGAACAGGAAATGAGACATTCTGTCATTACATTCAGCTCTTTGATGGACAAAGACATCAGAACATCCCAAAATCTCTGTAGGAGCTTGATTTTCTCTGGAAACATGGTTAAAGCAGACAGGAAGTAACTTGAGCCAAACAGGAGGGAATCAAATCAGACATCGCTAGCTTGCTTATCAGGACAGGACAATTATATTTGTCATAAGGCCCTTTTCACTCGTGCATCAGTGCTCTCCTCTTTCATGGGCTGCAACCACATTGGTCCAGTGGTTTGCCTTTCTTCCCTTTAATTCTTTCTGCTAAAGATGACCAACAATGGCCGCCTTTTTAGAGATTGTATAACCTTCTCTTCCCGCAGATAGCCGGTGCCATCAAGTATGCAAGAGTGTGTTGTCATCCATGTGGCGTGCGCTGTCCAAATTGTAATCTTTCCTGCACTGCTTTGATT